TTTGTTTGTACGTATGTTTGCTCCAGCGTCTAGCAACATTATGCTGTATATTACGCTTAACTCACTCATAGAAAATACATCCTTACGCCAATACATATGCACACTGGGACTCAAACACTCAAACACTCACACATACATACCCACATACAAAAACTCGCGCGCGTGTGTGTGTGCTGGAACATATCAGCTTTCACATACACAGGGAATGCAGGAAAATATTCATATAACTTTAGATACTCTGTGGGATTTCGAAGTAAAAAAGACAATTTTCGGATCCCCAAAACTTATCACACAGTCTCATTTCCCCCCAGAACATTATACAACACCCCAGAGACCAAAGGGAGAATAAACCAAATAGCTATATGCTCTCATACGAGAAGCAGCAGCAAGTTATGGCAATGGAGCACTGGCAAGTGGCAAACGCTGCCAGAAAACAGCTGTGAATGGATGAAGAATTTCGTTCGCTCTGTCCTTGTCGGGGCGGGGGTTATTGAAGAAATGAATGGCATACAAAGTTGGAATAAATTCGAGTGATGAATAAGTTCGGTATATTTTGCCAAAATATTGCAGATGCAATTTAAATGTTGGGTAACATATACACATGAGCGTATGTGAACATACATATGTACGAAGTATATAAAAAATTAAAATTATTTTTTAATGATTTAGCATTCAATATTTTTAGCGATGTTTACAAATAAATAACAGTATGTTTTTGTGGGGGGAGGGGGGTGGCTAAAATGGATTGTCTTAATTAATGTAATACAGAAATATATATTTTTTGAAACAGCAATGTGGATCACTCTAATATACATAGGCGACGCATCGTACAGTCTGCCAAAATAATGTTTACAAATGGAAGAAATCTCATTTCAACAAAGTACTAAGAGTGTGTTTCCACGATTTCATCAAACATTCTTCCACGTTCATTTATTGGTGGAGAAAGAAACCATGGAAAGACAGATAGAAATTTTTTTCATACTCCCACAATTTACTTTGAAATATCATAATTATACCCTACACCACAAGGTGGTCAGGGTATTATGTCTTTTGCATTTGCAAGAGGCCAAAAGAAACGAGATAGATACATAATTCCTTTTGATGATCTGCATAGAATCACATTCTGAGTCGATTTATGCATGTCCGCCCGTCCGTCTGTCCATGTATTTTTGTAAACAAAGTCGCATTTATTGGCCGATCCAGTTGAATTTGTGCCCAAATCATTTGTTTGACCCAAGGACGAACCCTATTTAAATTGGAGACAATCGATCCGAATTTAGATATAACTCCCATATATATCTTCGTCCGATTTGTTTTTTATTGTGCACCAAACAGGGTGAGATAAAAAACTGCAACAAAGTCAATCGCCATAGTTTTTACATTTTAACTTTATTGAATGAAAGCAAAAAATGTCGGAAAAAATATAAGAATAAGTTTAGATTTGTTCAAATTGGTCACTATTGGCACGAATTATGGCCTTCAAACGGCCAATGAAACCCCCACACGCTGCCCGAATGTTGCTCTGCGGTATTTTGGTGCCAACACTTTGGTAATTTTTAGTGCCAACCTTGCTTTCCAAATACTCCAGGCACAATAGTTCAACGGATTGGTATCCGGAGATTTTGGTGGCCATTTTGCGATGGAAATGAAGCGAATAACCTCATTTTGTGCTGAGTCCTGTTGGTCTGCAACCAAATGTTTGCGTTCCCAAAGCCTCCAGAATATTTTCGCGATAATATTCTGATGCCACGGTCGATTAATACGGGCGGAGAGCAACCATCGGCTGTTATGGCTGCACACACCATCACGGCGCTTGAGTTCCGGTGGCCAACCGAAGGTGCACATTTTCAGCTGACTTCTTTAGCAAGTAATCACGTTAATTTTGTTTGTTTACAAACTGCTGAACATCGAATGATTTCTCATCGGACAAAACCAAGTTCGGCAGTTCACCACTTTCGGCCAAGCTAAGCAACTCTTTAGTTCCTTTGAGTCTATTTTCTTTCTGTTGCGGTATAAGTTCTTGCACTTTTTGGAAATTTGGAAAGGCTTTACCCCGAGTTCATTTTTCAATATCTGCTGAATGGAATATTGCGATATGTTCAGCTCACGAGCTATTTTTCTGCGACGCGGGTTTCGGTGCTGATGTTGCTTTTTTCTTCCGTCCACTTCCTTGACGTCGGGCTACGCTACCAGTATCACGGTTACGAGCGATGGTACGAGACACTAAAGATTTATTCACATTTAAATGCTGGAGTGCTCTAACAATAGCCACTTGTGGTTTTCCAGCCAAATATAAAGAAATCACACCATCACGCTTGAATTCCATCACGAATAACTTGTTTTTTCTTTTTAACACCAAAATGCTTTTGTACTCTTGTAAACAATATAATGAGCTGTCACTGAAATAATTTTAACAACTGTCGGACGAGTGGCTTAGAAATAACTGCAGTCTGAAATTGGTTATAGTTTTTTCATCTCACCCTGTATAGCTCAGAAATACCTTTGCCAAATTTTATCGAGATCTGTTCAGATTTGGATATAGCTCTCATATATATCTTTATCCGATTTCAAGTTAATTGTGCCAAAATTGAAAAGGCACCAATGCCTCGGCAAATTTAGTGGAAATCGATTCAGGTGAAGATATTCCTCTCATACACATAAAAAACACATGAATTTCATTGAATACTAAATCCAAGCAAATTTTAGGTCATCATTTTCAAAATTGTATTGTTTTTTCAAACATTTTTTTTTTGCTTTTGCAAGGAGCTGCTTGACAAACTGCATACCCATGTCCCTATTTTGTATTTCGTTTATTGTGTAACTGGCATCCAGCTACCCGTTCTGCCTACTGGCTGTCCATCTAACAGACCGTACATGTCGAAGAAGCATTTATGTTTGTATTACTTAGCATTACGAGGCGTGTATGTACCATAAAATGTGTGGCATGCTGCTCTGTGGCGCCCTCTGTACACCCAAGTGCCATAATAAAGGCTCACAGGAATATTTTCATGTAATGTACGAGCTCTCGGACGACACAACATGGACACATCAAAGTTTATGTGGAACACAACCACAGCGAGCTAACAGTTGCAGCATGGTCATCACAACAATACAGCCGCAACAGACATAAACACAGACAGATGGACGGACACATGTTGGCCCAACAAGGCCATCGACGCTACCAAGAGCAAAATATCAACATTTATGTAATGGTTATGGCGTATGGTGCGTCTTCTCTCTCTCTCTCCCTCTCTCTCTGTTTCCCTCTATCTGGCTCTGGTTCCGTGTGCAAGATTGTGGGCAAATTCAATATTACACTCACATGGATGTTTGGCCCTATTGTGGGTGAACTACACATGCCTTGGCATGTCGGTTCATGTCACACAGAACAAATTCGATTGCAGAGCTATATTCAAGAATTTCTTACATTTGAAGCTAGGCGAAAATGCTCAGTAACGCAACTGTTTACGCACAATGACATGATCTAAATAATAATTACCGATCCACGATTAGTTTTAATGAATATTAAACTAAAGCAGTCCAGTTCAAATTTGTTTTACTCAAAAGATATAAGTAAGTAACGTGTTCTCCAAATGCACATTCCTAAAAATTACACCAAACTTCGTCTAAGACCCACGCATGTGTTTAATTTTCCATTGTATTACATTACTTTAAGATATCGGACATCCCAATTGGCTGACGAAGTGGACACTCCTCAGATCTGTCCCCATAACAATACGGAGCATACTCTCCGACTCGAGTCTCAGTGTAAGTGTATGACAGGAAATGACCACCACACCACACACTGAGAATACAAGTTCAAGTAGTTATAGCGATGAGCACAAGACCAAGCAACAACAAATGAGTTGTTCTGCAGTTGGCTGTTTGACCAACCGGTCAGTTGTTGGTCTTCTCAGTTGCTACTCATTGACCAAAAATGAAATTTGCATTTTTGCTATTTATGAGACTGTTGAGAGTTATTAGCTGGCCAAGTCGGTACTCGTGGGAGTGTTAACTTTGTTATATCAATACAAGCATTTGTAAAAGGACAATTGCGTAGGCAGGCATACATAGATACATACATATATCTACAGTAAACACATTGACATTACAGAGGATGGTCGATATAAATACATAAAGCCTGAGTTCCATTGAGAGGGAGTGATTAAGGGAAAATGTATAACATTTTGTAAGGGTCCATAGGTCTAGTCGAGCCTTGGGCAAATGTCCAGCAAAAATTCTCATTGCCAAACAATGGTTTTTCTATCCAATTTGCTGAGGTCGTAACTACTTACAATGCAACCTACCAACCCCTCATTTTGATAATCTCCCGAAATAAGTAAATAGCTTTCGGCAACTAAATGTCAACAAATAATTAGAAAAAAAATTTGAGTACATTAATTGGTAATGAGGAGAATAAGTCCTTTTTCTTAGAAACAACTTTAAAGTCTTATAAAATTACCTTTCTTAAGATTATTTGCCCATTGAGTTCCGAAAAATTTTGCTGAGTGCTCTGTACTACAAATTAAAGAGTAACAAAACTGGCTCTGGGACAACCATTTACTGCGCATTGGAAATATTGTAGTAGGAACAGCTTTCTCGTCGAGACGTTGATACTACCGGACAAGATGATCTATCGAAGAGCAATATTCCCGTCATCATTTGCGACTTGTGGGATATTTTAAAACAGGTTAGGATTTGCTACATCCACAAGTAGCATTTTAAGCGCAATTTGGAATCAACAATCTAAGAATCCGTTTTTGGATATCCCCATCCCGTCATATTTTCCGAACAAATATTACCAAGAAGAATGTATTTTTTTTAACATAAATGTTCTTATTGTTTCAAATATGGCCCAAATCTTCCATATTTTTTTTTTTTTTTAATTTATTTATGTATTAATTTTTTTTCGAATCATCAAATTTACATTACATCCTAATATACATATAAAAAAGCAACAGAAGCAAGAAACTGGCTACGATATGGAATCAAAAACTTACCATTGTTATTATTGGTAGTTACAATTTTGTCTACCGATGACACGACTGCTGTTGTTGTTGTTGCTGCTGTAGTAGTAGTGGGACTCGCCACTAGGGATGGGTGGGTGTCTTTAGTTTTCATATCTTTACAAGATTGACCATCAGCCTTGTCACTCTCCATACTTTCAGTCTCACTAAGTAGCTCCTCCTTAGGATCCAGCAACGATAGAGGATCTTCACAATCCTCAGCCGTCTCACCCACTGCAACAGAAATAGAAAAAATTCAAATATTATGACAACAAGAAAATGAAAACATTAAATCACTATGACAAGGAACACCGACTTCTTTTTGGTGTATGGGTCTGATGAGTAAACACACACACACACACCCTCACGTACATACGTAAGCAAACATAAATCTTAAACGTATAAAAATACACCCTCGTTACCCCTTTAATGGCCAAATAAAAATTAGTTATGCAATCGAATTTTAATATTTATATGCCCCCCGGTAACAGCTCCAGATATATTCACTCTCACACTCGCATTCGGACAAATGGGGCAGCAAACCAGAAACAAAAGCACACCAACACCAAGCAAAGTACTTTTGAGCCACCTTCATGTCGTATTGGCGGGTGCTCTGTCCGTCGATGTGGAAAGTATCGCCCAAACGAAAGAAATTTGTTTTTAGAGCAAATTGGTTTTCTTTACTGCTGTTGGATCGTTGCTTATGTCGGCGTTGTTTTTCCGCCGTCAACAACGCCATCATCCACAGTTTTCTTCTGGTGTTCGCTGCAACCATAACCGAAACACGGAGCAACACCACAACAACAGGAACGGGTAACGGCAACGAAGTGCCAGCTCACTTTATGCAGATTAAGCTTAAGCACTCCCCAGACGACCATAGAGGTATAAATTCTATTTACACGTACGTATATTTTATTTTTTACCAATAGCTCAACTTAAGTACCAAAAGACATTCTGCAACCACCACCACCACCACCACCAACGAGCGACACCACTCATTCATATGAACTTGGTGTCATTTGTTAGCATGTGAGTGTGGCTGAATGGGCCAGCTACAAATGGCTCCGTCAAATTCATCTTGGCCCAAACATTTGTACTTCCTTGTGTCCACTACACATGTAAGAGAATGGTTTGGGGGAGGGTGAGTTTGAGTTGAAGCAAAATACAGTGGCGATCTCTTAATGAATTGCCTGCAAAAGGTGTTGCTGCTCCATTCACAGGCCAATGTCCGAGGCGCTAACCGTTATTACCGTTTCCTGTTATGAGTTTTATTTCATACTTCTCGTCTCTGCTTTCGCATGCTATCTGCTCATTATGATTAGGAATTGTTCAATCCGTCCTCCATACTAGTAAACCCCCTCACGTTGCTGCGAGGGATGGGAATTCGGTTAATTGGGTTTCTCCACCTTCCCTCACCGCCTGGGTAGTTTTGGTTTGTCCATTTTCAAACATCGTCAGTGATGTCGTTTTTTTTACTTTTTTTACACGAAACATGTGTAATCGTTTGCAATTAAATTGAATTTTTCATAAATATCCAAGCATTTCGTATCCTCAACGGCTGTGAAGAGAACATTTGTGCACACACATATCGTACGATTCGAGCCATTCGTCCCTTCCATAAATGTATCGTTAAGATTTTAAACTACACCTCAAGGAATCCGAAAAAATGGCCATTTGCAAACAAGCGTATCACAGACCGCCACAGATAATGAATTTTGACGTGAGTGTGTTGGTGCGTTTTAGGACAGGCTGGAGTGTATTCAAGTTGGCAAAAAAAAATTAAAATATGCGTAAAAAATAACATTTTAATCACGTTTAAGGAATAAATAATGAAATTATTGTTTGAAAGAACTTAGATTGTCATAGATGTGGTTGAAATGCAATTTCGAGTTTAGTGGTCATACACACAAATGTATTTTACAGAGGAGAAAAAAAAATGAAGTAGATCAACAACTAATTCTACTGACACCCTCTATAAAAATTATTTGTACCATGTTTTTTGCAGAACTTTTAAATATTGTATAAGAGATCTATATATTACGGTGTGTTTGAACTACATCGGGTAATCCCATGACACTGCATAAAATGTTTATGTAGAGGGACACCCGGAAGGATCGGACCGTTATATTCGATTTTCACAATTGCACAAAATATTGGGATGTACTAAGATTTCGCATATTTCGAGAGTTATTATCATTCGAAAGTTTTACCTTTTGTGGGGAAAATACCAAGAGGAGCGGGGCAATATTTTTGGGGGGTTACCAGAAGGTAGATAAACAACCCTGAATTCGATCTAAATTTGCTAAAAAATATTACGATACACCAGTTTGGCCCAAATCGTGGGCACACAACAGACTGACAGGGCTATATCGACTATAAATGTTCTGAAATGGATTTTGTCTAAATTATACCGTTTAAAACGACTAGTTATACATCCCATCTTTATATTTAGCCATATGACTTATGATGTAATAAATCTTCCAACTTCATTTTGATAAATCTGAGGTATTCTCCATCTGTTTACCTCTCTTATCAATACAGGAAAAACGTTGCCTGGAGTAGGCATATACATTTTAGAGGGGATATGTAGTGATTTTCTCACAAACAAATTGGTCCATTCTATATGGTATGGCTACTTTTTCTCTGCTGTGGAAAAGTTCAAAAAGTACCGCCGTATGGGGCTACATTTAAAAATGTTTTGTTACAGTTAGTTTTGTTCGAAATCTTCCGAAAATCCCCAAACCCATAAAATAATTTAAACCAATAGGGACCGTTTTGCCAAATTGAGGACCAACATTAAGTCAGAACTTTTTTGTCTGTTGAGAGTTGCAGCAGATTCGGTTGAAAACTATGGCTAAAGCTCCTAAAATAACTTAAACAAGGGGACTATACCAAAACTCATTTCCAATATCAATATCTTCGGACTCAAAATACATATCATCATAATTTTATCTTCCTATGTGATTTCCTCAATCAGACGAACAAAGACAATTAAATTTGAATTCTATTAAAAATATATAAAACAAGTAAGCAAAGGCTACAGTCGAGCGGGGCCGACCGTTGAATACCCTACAACACTATAATAAACGATACAGTTATATAGGCAAGATACTCGAAAGAATTTCACAAGATATTGTGACAAATAATAAAAGAAAACCATCAGGTTTCGTTCTCTTATTTTCGAATAATAGCAACTTAAACTAATTTGTTCATTTCCAATTTATTGATAGATGTTGCACGTAAATGGTCTTCCTAGATCTGGAACCAGTATTTCCCAAAGACCTATAATCTCTCAGAAGTGGCAAAAGATTAACATTTATTATTGGTTTTTGACTGAAACGCATCTATATGAGATACAGCCATATGACTATATTCTTCAACGAAATCAGCGTTAACGAAATAGTCAGAAGTGCGTCTTCCCTGTTTTTGTGAATTCTCCAAAAAGTCACTGGAATGGACATTTTCGTATTTTGTTTACAAAAGTTGGCAAACTCCTTTACACATTGAATATTTTTGGATGGCCATCCAAAACTGCTTGGCTTTTGCAATGTCCGGTAACCCCCATTCAAATGTGCGTGAGGATTGGGCGATAATTACGACCTGCTGACAATTTTGCAGTTTTTTGGTCCATTTCAACCACTAAATATATGGCGATCATCTCCAAAAAGAGTAGGCTTCTATTCTGACCCTCATCTTATCCCCATGCAAAATTTCGTAAGGATCGGGCCATAAATGCGATCTGTATATGATAACCTGATATCCTAACTACTTAGTTTTGTTAGCTGTAGAAATATTACCAAATGTTTAATTCAAAATGAAAATATGCAAAATGGAAAAAATATGAGAAAATATTACAAAATCAATATTTTCATCTTTAGAGAGATATTTGTATGCGTTTTTAGACGTTTTTCCTTTCCTGCCAAGAGGCCATTCTGAATTAATGAGAACTGTCGAAATCAATTCAGCCGTTCTCGACATATATGAGATCTTTCAAGCATATCTTCTTTGATAGACATATATATCGCATATACTTGCTATATATTCGATTTTTTGGATCTTAACATCAATGTAAAGATCAGAAGTAACCTTGTCATGGCTTTGTGATTTCGCCGGGATTTAAAATATTAGCGGTTTAATGAAAAATTTTGAATTTTTTCAACAAAAAAGATATGGCCTATTTTACCCGCTAAATATTATCCGATGACCACCCAAATTGGTAGGCTTCTTCCCCGCCCTAAACTCTAGCTACATGCGAAATGTCGCGTCGATTGGTCTATAATTGTGACCTGTAGAGCTACTGCAAAATCCGACATTTTTTCAGTATTTGGTCCATTTCAACCCCTAAATATTTGGCGATCATCTCCAAAAGAAATAGGGTTCTATTCTGACCCTAGCCCCACCTCCATTCTAAATTTCGTGAAGATCGGGCCATAATTGCGACCTGTAGAGTGATTACAAATTAACATGGACAGACGGACAGGCGGACAGACGGACGGATGGACATACATAGCTAGATCGACTCAGCTCGGCGAGATAGGAAGATCCATATATACTTTCCTATGTGGGAAATCAATATTTCGTGGTGTTACATAATTTTGGGCCAATCAAACTTATAATACCCCCAACACATAGTGTTGTAGGGTATAATTAAAATTAATTTTTTGTTGAGTTTTAAACTTAATATTTTCCCCATTATATGGTGGAGGGTATAAAAAGATAGGCCCCATAATAATAATGATGACTTGGTCTCACAAAAGTTATGATTTACCTGTAATCATTCACAAACTATTTTGCTGTACATAATTACGCCATAATTTTATTTTTTTTTTAATTTTATTGAATGAAAGCAAAAATGTCGGAAATAGCATCAAATATTAGAATAAATTTAGATTTGTTCGAATTGGCCACCTTTGGCACGAATTATGGCCTTCAAACGGCCAATGAAACCGTCTCACGCTGACCGAATGTTGCTCTGCGGTATTTTGGTCCATTCCCGGCGAAGCGCTTGCTTGAGGTGATCGACACTTTGGTATTTTTCAGTGCCAAACTGGCTTTCCAAAATACTTCAGACACAATAGTCCAACGTATTGGTATCCGGAGATTTTAGAATTGAAGCGAGGAATCTTATTTTGTAACCATTCTTGGGTGGCGCGTGCTGAGTGCGATCTGCGGCCAAAATGTTTGCATGTCCAAAGCTTACACCCTTCAAAATATTTCCGCTGTAATATTCAGCA